TACTAAAGGGAAATAACTGATACAGAGACACCCAGGAAAGCACGTGAAACGAGAACAATCTACCCCGGTAGACGAAATAAAGGGTTCGAATCGAAATTCCAACGTATATCACCTGAAGACAAGGTAGATTCGCTGAAACGTCTTGAATATGGCAATGACTTTACAGGCAAGCCACCAATTTGCCACTGGGTGGCATGCCACTGGGTGGCATGCCACTAATGTTTACCGTTGGTGGTCCGCTGTCGGATCGTCGACGTGTTCGCCTCGGCAGTGTTATTACTGCCGGAAGGCTTGAGGCCCACCGGTGGCTTGCCAATGGCTGCTACCAAAGGACTGCTGGCGTTGCCATCAGTGGCTCACCAGCGGGCCACTATAGGCTTGCGTATGGGGAAATATGAGGACAACAATCTGAACAATGTAAATAGTGTAAATAGTTACTACATCTCATCTCTCAAATATTGACAGATGTATAAATATTCTATAAATTATAAGATTATTTTAAGATAATCTATAAGAAAATGTTTAACTTATGGTGATTATAATTTGAATTTTTGTCTGAAGATTCGAGTCATTAGTGACAGAGTCAAAAAAGAAAGCTCCACATCCACTCGTCAAATGCTAATTCTATAACCTCTTGATTTTTACGGAATTGAATTTTCGGAACTGTAATTTACAGATAATAAAGAAATGTCAGGGAAGACGAACTATACGATCACCGAAGTTAAACAACGTCGAGCCTGATCAGTACCTAGATAGGTAATCAGTTGGGAATATCGGGTGCTGTAAGCTTGAACGTGCGGGTAGTGTAACGGGTAACAGCTCGGAATCGGAAATCAGAGGGCCGAGTTCCAATGCCAGACGGGCTCGTTATAGTTACATACGCACAAATACGTTTGGGAAAGGCATGAATCCACTTCTTCACCACCATGTATGGGTTAATTAGTAAAACTTGTATCAGTAAAAATAATTATTACCCCCCCAAAAAAAAATATTTCAATCTAAAAATATTTTATGGCTTTAAATACCCTGTAAAAGGTTTATAAGTTGCAAAATCAATCAATCGCCCTGCACCCTGAAAGAAATGATACCATATAAGGCGCCATTTTTTACTCCAAATAGATACAAAAAATCTCCCCGATGTTATAAGTTGAATTATCTGGTAGGTAGGCTAATGTATACCAAGACGCCGCAGAATGCAAGGACTTGAACCTCGTCTAGCTCTATAAAACTGTATTATTAAATGTAAAAATGAAGATCATATGCCATAAAATATAGGAAATACTAAATCATTTATTTACTGACAAAATGATTTTGAATATCACACATAGAGCAAGAAACGTGTGTCCATTTGAATGAACTTTGAGTTTACGTTCGATTCATATTGTCCGTGAGCATCTCGCGGAGTCATTTGTTCTCATTGGTTGAATATTCACGATCATGTCACGTTTCAGCGTCGATCTGTGTCCTGCGACTGAAAAATAAAGTTTTAAAAATAAAATATAACCAAATGCTGTAATCAAAATAGATCTTCGATTTCTACATTTTTCTGATCGCTTGTGATGCCTATAACACACGCAAAGGAAACTTTATTTAATTGTAAACTGAACGTTCGGGAGTTCAAACTTTTTTTTTTTTTTCATTTTTTAATCGATTTCTCGTTACGAGCTTTTAACTGAGATTTGAGATAATTTACAATAATTTACAATGGAAAGCGGGATTACCATTTTCCCTTTTAAAATGGGGAAATCGTTGATTTGGGATGTCACCTGTGCCGATACGTTTTCGACCGGTAATTTGATCATGTCCGCGGTTGAGCCGGGGTCTGTCGCATGAGACGCAGAGATAAAAAATATAGTTAAATATTCTTCAGATTTATTTTGACTCCTGTGGCAGTGGAGACTTCTGTGGTTATTGGCCCTCGTTCAATAGCGTTCCTTCGGAGGGTTGGCGGGATGGCGCCTCAATTAAAGGGAGAGCCTCACGAACGAGAGTGGCTCTTGCATCGTGTCTCACTGGCGATGGTTCGAGGTAATGCTTTCTCCATCATTGTGGCTGGTGGAGGATAGCAAAACAAAAAGGAGAAATGAAAAAAAAACATTAAAAAAAAATACAATGTCCACGTAATAAAAAACAATTCTATTAACGTTTATAATAAACAAGTTGACAATAATATAGTTATTGTTTCCAATTAAGATTGACTATGGGAAGTGACAAGTGCGGAAATTCAACTGGACAGAATAACCAGAAATGAGGGAAAATATGACGTGGAAATTCGAAGACGCATTGAAATAACGAAAAACACTTTTCAGAAAACTGAATATGATATTAATGACAATCGTAGTATTAACCGTTTCCTTATAAGGAAACATTCGGCATTCATTGACCGAACAGCCAGTGCTACTTTTAGTTAAAGTTTATAAAATCTTTCTCTTAAAACAATTTTTCTGGAAAATAGGTTTCTAAAATCCAGTAACTAGTATTGTTCTTTCCGGTATTAATAGGGGTGTTCTTTTCTAACCTTTTGTTTGAAGTAGTTTTCAACGTCAACATCTTGATTATTTCTCTTTTAGTTATATGTGCTATCCATTTTAGTTGTAGCTGTTTTTGAAAGTCATCAAGGGATGTGGCTTCTATTTGGTACGGTTCCTTTTCTGTGATTCTGTAATGTCAGTTCTCAATATTGGAAGAAGGATGGTTCTCGTTAAAACCTGCAGACTTCATTCTATGAAGCTATTTTAACCATTGATCTGAGAAAGTGGCTATATACAGATCACAGTTTAAACATTTCTGAAAGGATTTGGCAACATGCATAACATCCATATGAAAGTTTCGATCTGACGAAACTATTTAAGAATATGACTCAATATTTAGGTTAATTTTGGTTTCGAAGCAATTTGTGACGTTGGGTGATAAAGTTAATAGAATGTTTAACTGGGGCAAAGAACGGCTTATTAACATTAACGCGCCGTATCGTCAGAGAGAAATCGTTCTGCTTCCCATCAGAATGGCTGATGCTAACCTCCAGAAATGTGATTCATTCTGCCTTCTGCGGCTAACATTTCTCGCTGACATAAAGTGGAAATATTATATTGAATTAATTGCTAGGTCTGCCACTAAAAAAGTTGGTTTAGTAAGCAAATTTTCTCGCCAAAATCTTCCATAAATATTTATAAGTCTACCATTCCCTTTGAATATTGCTGCCACACTATGTCTGGTGCTTCTGTTAGCGTTTAAAGGTTCTTGATAAAATACAAAGAAGAATAAACAATGTTATTGGTTCTGAACTGGCATCTTAGGCTCAGGCACTTTGCCACAGCCGTAATTTTGCTTCCCAGTGTCTTTTCCATAAATACTTTCATTGTTTTGATGAATATATCTTTATTGTACCTAGACTTTATGAAGTTAAGCACAGTACCATATTGGCAAAATAGTCTCAGCCATTTTACATTTGAAATGGCCACATGTTCTAAGTTTCTTCCCTCGCACTTCTTTCTTGTGGAACTCTCTTCCGGCTTTTTGCATTCCAGTCAATTCTAATCTTCAAAAATGCAAATGCAATGTCAATCGTTATCTCTTGTTTTCTTAATTTCTGTTATTTTATTGTTCACCCTCCTTAATAATTTTTTTCCTCATATTCTCTCACATTCTAGTATGCCCTTGCATTTTAATGGTTTTATTGCCTTGCTTGGGATGAAATGATTAAAAAATTAAAATTTAAGAATAAATAATGTTACTTCTGACCTATAATAAATGCTGGGTTTAGTGTATAAATATTTACCCTGGCTCTCCACTGAGACTGGATGTGACACAAGGTTGGATTTAATGTGCGTACACTCGGGCCAAGAACAAAAAAAAATCCTCGAACCCTCACAACCGTCGGTTGCGCAGGCCTCGGTGCGAGCACCGATCCCTCTCTCTAGAGCAATGAGAGGCTGAAGCCTCGGGTATCTGTTAACCCAGGGCTAGGTACCTCGCTGTGTGATTTTCCTCAGTTTGCGCCTCTGTCCTCCGATGGAGCCACAACCGAGTCGCACTTTGCCGATAATTAAAACCTACCCGGCGTGTTGAGTTTAGTGTAAAGGAGAACAAAAATGTAACAATTTTGAGAAACATTACAAATGGGTTCATTACTAATAGTAAAAATGAAATCAAAATCAACCGTTTCCATACATAAACATTCAGCTTTCATTGACTGAACAGTTAGTGTTATTGTCAGTTGGAGTTTATTAAAAAAATTATAAAAACAGTTTTCCAGGAAATTAGGCTTCTCACATCTGCTGTTATCACTCTTTCCGGTATTGATGGGAATTTCCTTCCAAACTTTTTTGTTTTTATACTGTGGAATGTCAACAGTTTGATTATATTATTATTTTTTCTCTTAGTTACATGTACTAGCTAATTTTTGGTGTTTCTGTTGAAAGAATTTAAGTGATGTGTTTTTCGTTAATTAATAAAGTTCTTCGTGATTATGTAGCGCCAGTTTATAAGGCCTGATGAAGGATCACCTTTTTGTAAGGATTATAAGATTAATTAGTCTGAAGTTATTTAAAACCATTTGCATGAGAAAACGGATAAATACAGATTGTAGTTTAGACTTTGAATGAATTGGTAGCTATTCACAGCATTCATAGGAAAGTCGAAAATTAACGAGGCTATTTAAGAAAATGAGTTTCCAGGTTAGTCCTTAGTACGACGATAAACTACATCCGGCAAACTTTCTGATCGGAAAGTTTTGATGGGCGCAGAACCACCTCTTAATTGCTGGTGTTCCCAGGTCCACCTTGACTCAGGGTGGTAGAAGCTGTTAGGGTCCCCCGTCTATAGACAAATAGTGAGCCCTAAAACGAAAACAAATAACTATGAAAGTATCAAAGTATATTTTATAGCAAAATGACCAACAATACATTTTATCTGTAGCTGGGACCATAAAATTGTCTTGAAAATATTTAAATTTTGACATTAGAAGTTGATGTGCTGCTAAACAAAATCAAAGTTTCCAGGTCAATACTCTCTCTCTCTCTCTCTCTCTCTCTCTCTCTCTCTCTCTCTCTCTCTTTCCTCCTCTTCTCCTAGAGTATTATATCGCATACTTTATATAGTCCTGGAAGATTGCATGTTGTAGGTATGTTACGGTCTCACAACACCCCCTTTCCAAGAGTTTTCTTTTTTTTTTCTTTTTTTTTTTCCTTTTTTTTTTTTTGAAGAGGAGAGAAAAAAACCCATAAAACTGTTAAAACTTTTTTCTCTTGGGATTTACGTCGAACAGTTGAGTAAATTTCCTTTTCCTTCCTGAGCGTCGCACTTCAGGAGAGACTTGGGGCGTGTCGAGATCGAAGTGATTGGAAATTTACGTCGATCGGCTCTTCACAGCTATTTTGTAGTGATTCCTCAGATTCCTTCAAACGGCATTTTCCGAGCTGGTTCCAATGGCGTTTGTGAGTGTTTTTCGGTCCTTGGACAATATAGACCAGTTCGCCAATTCTTCGTTTTATGGTGCCTACTTCCCAGAATGTTATGTTGTTTTTGTAAGTCTTAAAAAATTTTATCGCCAGGATTGAAATATTTCTTATGAGACGATACGGTTTTTTTTAACTTTGCTTGCCGTGGAATAAGTTTGTCGAAGACAGACTTGATTTTCCTTGCGAACATTGTTTCTGCAGGCGAGCTTCCCATAGGCGTGTTCGGATTAGGGGTTATCCGATACATCTCTCTCTCTCTCTCTCTCTCTCTCTCTCTCTCCTCCTCCTCCTCCTCCTCCTAGAGTATTATATCGCATACTTTAAATAGTCCTGGAAGAGTCCATGTTGTAGGTATGTTACGGTCTCACAACAGAAAGTACGGTTGTTAGTAAAAGGAAGAGCCCAACATGCAAATTATAAATTGGATATACCAACATCAAACAAGTACAAAAATTCAAATATCTCGGAAGTTTTTTTTTTAATAAAGGACGTAATGTACAACACCGAAATCCGAAAGTGCATCGGAATAGCAAAACATGCCTTCCAAAAGCTAAGCAAAGTATTAAGAAATAGGAAAAAATCATTAGAAACAAAGAGAAGGTTGCTGAACTTTTACGTAATGTTATTATTCCTATATGGTAGTGAATGTTTGACAATCTCCCCATAGTTGAAGAAAAGATTTAAGAAATTCTCGAAAATAATATGGCTTAATGCCAGTTCTTTTATGTTGGTTGTTTGATTTTTTTAGCGACATATCAACCTCTCTGGGTTATTTAATTTTGAAACTTAAATAATTTGAACAATTTTATGGCTTCAACTAAATATATTTTGAACGCAGTTTTATGCCTACAAATAACGCTGTTTCATGTTGCAGTGTTCTTTTAACATAAAAATGTAATCCTGGTATTTTTACTAAAAAAGTTTTTTTTATACATTCATACTGTTTTGTTTGAGGATTCACTATTTTTCCCATAGCAGGGACCCTAACAGGTGCTACCACCCCGAATCAGGGTCGACTTGTGAACAACAGCAATTAAGAGTTGGTTCGACGCTTCTCAAATCCTCCAATCTCCTGATCAGAGGCCTTGCTGCCGGATGTAATTTATCGTCATACCCAGGACTGGAATAGAAGGAAGGTTGTAATAAAAATTCATTCAAAACTAATTTGTTTTTAGAACGAAAACGGAGAGAAAAGAGGTTGCAATAAATTGACGTCTTGGAATGAAGAAACAAGTTGGAAATATGTAGAAATAAAGGTAGAAATAAACGATAGAAAAATGGTGGGGAGGTTGGAAAAAAATTAAAATTTAAATAGTCAACCAAGCCCGTCTCTTCCAGAGGCGAGATTCTTTGGCATGGTTTTAGTTTTTGTCAACCAGTTGTTGTCTTTGGTTGGGTTTCAAAATGACTCACAAATTTTTTTTTCTTGTAGCAGATTATCTGTCTTATACGCAAGTCGCATTCCTTCTTGACTTGTGATAGTATCGTTAATTTCGTTCAGGCAATTTCCTTTAGACCACGTATCATTTATTTGAAACGGTGATAAATAAAATTACTTCAGCAAATATAATCCAGTTTCCTTACAAAATATTTTGCAGCTACTGATATTCTTCTTACCCTATATACACATGCCTTAATTTATTAGGTGATTAATGAATAATATCTAATATTTTAAGTTCCATCTTTACAAAAGATATATTAAAATATTGCCTTTTCTATTACTGATAATACCTTTTGTGTAACTCTATATTCCATAGTACTTTATGTAATATCAAATTATAATTGTCGGCTTTTTGCAATTCTTTTCTTCTTCCATTTATTTATTTAATTTTATTAGTATCTACTAAGTTTAGTTTGATGCGGTGTAAGTACAAATAAGGCGTCTGTCGTTAAGTGATGGCTACGAATATTATCTAGAATTCAGTCCTTACTAAGTAATCCACTACCAGTGCTTTTTTCTGTGTATTCACTACATTTGTTGTTTATTTTTTCGGCATATGCCTGTTTACAGAGGACTCCTCGACGTTGTGTAATGGTTAGCAAGCTTGTTTCGCTAAAGCAATTACGACTGAGGAGTGAGTTCGATCCTCACTGGGTGCCCCGTATTTATGCCAATCTAACCTACGTTTACAAATTACCATATGCTCGCTTAGAGACGCCAGAGTAATTATGTACTTTTAAAATGCCTTCTTTTTTTACCATTCTTTATTTACGGAAGCCTTGTTCCTTTTTTCTTTTTCGATAAGTTGGAATAAGTTTCCCCCATAGAAAATGACTCAAACTGCAAAGTATTTCAGAGACTAAGGAACTTGAGTTAGTCGTCATGCCGGACGCGCGTGAGCCATAAACAGCGGCGACCAATCTTAGTTGACATCGACTGTTCGTCACTCTTTGACTGAATCTTGGCTGATCGTTATGCTTTCTATTGACGGCCGAAACATCACCGGTAAATCTTCTGACAGATCGATAAATCTCTTCCTGGAAAACTATATCACTTATTTTATTTTATTTTTTTTTTGTGGGGGGTAATTTGATTGACATTTTTACTCACTTATTTCGACGTGTGCTTTTCCAACAAACAGTTTTTTTTTATCTAACTTTCCCTTTAAATATTTTATCAGTATTCTTCAGAAAAATCCATTCTACTCAAGGAGAATCCTTAATAGGAAAAAATATCAATGAAACTATCTCGATTGCTATTTACCATGACCATGACATCTCTAAATGTAATCTTAGTAAAGAAGTCTCAGAAAACACGACAGGAAATGTTAACGATTTAAAATTGTTTGCAAAAAAAAAAAGAATTTTTTCGCCACCTCACGAAGGTAAATACAACACAATGTCCGTTTAATGTGCGATTGCACACGGAAATATATGGGTAGAAGCAACATTTGCAGTCCTTTCAACCAGTGACACGAAAGCGTCAGGGAAGCCCACAACCATCGGCTTTTATTTTTACGAGAGCTTCTGTTTTGAGGTTTTAATCTCGAGTACTCGTCTGGCTTAATCAATGCTGTGTCTCAGCTGAAGATGAAATACGTCTGATCCCAACCAAATGAGTCAGATGAAGAAACTGAAGATGAATGAAAATTTAGGAATGTCAACACTATCCTTCAATTTCAGTTGCCGACGAATACCATGGGTAGGACATGTGAGTAACGAGGAAATCTAAAAGAAAAATAGCAAAAATTTGTTACTTACAATTAAAAAGAAACCGTAGAAATTTCTGACACATAATGAAAAAAGAGGGCTTGGAAAATTTAATACTCACAGGATATATTGAATGCCTCGTCTATATCCACCAAACCTTTAATACAATGGTTCTGCCACCCGGTTTAAATACGCGGGACCAGAATTTCGTCATATTTGAAAGTGGAGAACAGATATTACACTTTGATCCAATCCCGAAATGTGGGGTTTCCATACGCATGCATATGGACCAAGGATAAAAATTGCCACCGCTAGTACTGTCACGTTCGCGCCGGTATTTTCTCTCTCTCTCTCTCTCTCTCTCTCTCTCTCTCTCTCTCTATCTATCTATCTATCTATCTCTCTCTCTCTCTCTCTCTCTCTCTCAGAAATATAGCAGAAAGGTAAACAGCTCTGATCTTAGGCAAAGTGTATAGAAATTCTGATCAGGTATTCACTCGCCTACACACGGTGGCGACATGTGATATAAGTTTGTTCTTAATATGGTGTGGCTATACGCGCATATATGACCAAAACTGCCCAATCCTTATGATCACTATCACATTGGCTTTGATATCCACTAACACTTCTTCTTTAGTACTATGTGGAAGATGCTGCGGCAGGGTTGAAAAATCCGAGAAAAGGATTTTCTCAATATTTAAAGAAGAGAAAATTACACTTTTTATTTAATCCCCACCCTGCAACAGTTGCAGGATATGGCACGGGGTCAGTTTAATGCGTGCGCTCATGGGCTAAGGGCCAAAAATTACCCGGTCTCTGTATGTAGCGTCGCGTTGGAGTAGATATTTTATCGACCTTCCATTTTTGATGCAATGAGGGAGGTACTGCCGCAGGGTTGGAATCCCCAGAACCAGGCGTCTCTCATTTGTTGTCATGTTCTGTCGAAAGACAGAAACACAACTGAGAAATTAATGTACATTGTCTGTCCAAAGACAGATACTACCCTTTGTTCCAGCGTCAATATTCCAACTGTACAAGTCTTTGGGGCAATGAGGGAGGTGCTATCGCAAGGTAGGAATCCCCAGGACCAGGCATCCCTCATTTATTTGTTGTGTTTTGTCGAAAGACAGAAACACAACTGAGAGATTAAATGTAGTTTGTCTGCCCTTGGAAAGACACTACACTTTGATCCCCCCTCCTGACGCCGGTTAGGTCTTTTTCCGCACGCCTACATTGCAATAGAATGTGATGCAAGGTCTGAGTTTAATGTGAGATTTCGGAAACTGCGTATAAAATTCCTCAAGTCCTCTCAATCACCGGCTAATGACCCCTCCCCTTTCCTGAAGGAAAGTTACTGCCTGGGGATGATGTCCCCCCTGAGGCTTCAGCTGATATTAATTCCAACTTCCCTGGCGTATCGCAGATGATCTCTGATCCTATTAAAACGTATAGATATTCTGACCCCAGACAGAATTGTCGATCTATACATAAATAATTCCGTCGTTTTTAAAAGGTTCTTTGCAATATTAATGATGTTTTGATTATAATGAAGATAAAAACAGCATTGCAGAAAAAAAAGTTCTAGCTGCATTCCTCGATCAAAATTCTCTGAAATTTCTTACAGGCTATGTTACGAAAGTTTAACAATAAATGTTTGAATATATATATGTGTGTGTATATGTGTGTGTGTGTAACACTAAGTAACATCAACTATGAAAACGGCTGACCGTGTTTGGAAAATTAAAAACAACATTCAATTACTCTAGATAAATATGTAAAAAAAAAAATCTACATACAGCCGAATGCGCTCGAATATCACAGGGTGCGATGGATAAATTGTCGTCTAAATTACACAAAAATGAAAATAACACTGATATTTAATTTGAACAGATACATTTACCAAAATTACCCAAAAATATCTTGAAATACTAAAGAGTAAATTTATCCAATAAAATCGCCATTGACGTCAACCACGGCCTCCAAATGACTTCGGAATCTCCTGAAACTCTTCTGGAAGGTTTCCTTGTTTATTTTGTGAATGCTACTATAATCCTTGTCTTCAGTTCATCTTTGGTGTTACAAGGAGTTTTGTTAGTCTGTTCAACTATGCCCCACACATTATAATCAAGGAGGTTGAAGTCTGAGGAATTAGTTGGCCAGAAGTAAGGGGTGATATGATCGCAGAAATTGTCTGCCAGCCATGACCGGGTTCTCCGGCTTGTGTGGCATGGTGGAGAGTCCTGTTACCAGACATAAGGCCTTCCAGGAGCCACCCTCTTAACTCAGGGCAGCACTACCTCTTCAAGGCACTTGATGTAGGCCTTCGTGTTGACTCTGAGCTCCTCACAATAAATTCGGGAGTTCTTTTCTTATCAGAACGATCAGAGTGAGGTTTGCGAGCTTCCGTACCTTCGTAATCACTATTAGAATCATCCAACTCTTTCCGAATCCTCTGTACTGTCCTCTGATTAACACCCAAACACTTTGAAATGTTCGTACTGGAGCGAATGCCAAATAGTACAGCATGCCGTTTCCAAATTTCTGGCGGAGTGAATTGCGTCATGGTGGTCTTTTTCTCACGGACAGTGCCCAATTGACCCTTCTATAACGGGCAGTCGACAAAATCAAAACAAACAAAGGATATGTGTGAAATTAAAAATATCGTATCATATACACACACACACACACATGCAAACACACACACACACATTCGACGAGAGAGTCCACTATATATATATATATATATATATATATATATATATATATATATATATATATATAAAGTGAACATTGAAATCAACACTCAGAGGCGACAGGCTGTTTCATGCTCGACGCAATCGTCAGGCCGCCTATACGCTTTAATAGGATCAGAACTCATCAAGCGGTCTGAGGATTCTAGCACGAAACAGCTTGTCGCCTCTGATTGTTGACTTCAATGTTCACTTTTATATTTACATACGCTCTATCTCTGATATTGAGCACTTTATCTCATAAATATAGCACACCTTAAAACTATATTTCTTATATATATATATATATATATATATATATATATATAGTTGACTCTCTCGTCGCGGACGACAAATGGGAGCTCAGTAAAATAAAGAGGTGCTCAACTTTTATGAACAAGTATGTGTCTCCCAAGGCCTGCAGGATCAACTGTCACCTGTTTCTACGAGTGGGCAGCAAGGCCTGCTTTACTGCATGCGAAAAGACACAGTGGCAGGTAAAAGGCTATTATTGAGAGGAGCAGCACGTTGCCAACTGTTTTTTAATATTTGCCCGCAGTCAATCCCAATGTTCAAGTTAACCTCGCTCAAACCTTTGTATAGATGACAAGCAGGAGAATCGCCAGCTCCTTCAGTCTACAGTTTTGTTTTCCCAGGAAGAAATGTCTATTTTCAACAACTTTTATACCCTTCTACAACATCCCGTACACACCATTTATTATAGTAGTATAACAGAACTCAAAAAATGCCAAAAATGAAAAAATTCCAAACAGTTTAGCTAGGGACCAAACAACTTTGGACAATTTTTACATTCATTAAGACCAGAAATGAAGACACTTGTTCGCAAACAAGAAACTCAACAAAAGTACGTTATCAGTCTTGTTCAATGAAACATGTATATATGGAACTCTTTTCTGGTTTTTACTTTCCAGTCAAGTTTGATCTTCAAAAATATAAATGTAATGTCACTTGTTATATTCTGCCTTAATTTATGATCTTTTATTGGTCTCGCGTCTTAATATTTTTCTTTTTCTTATATTATTTCACACTCAGTAACCCCAGCGTCTTAGTGGCTTTATTGCCTTGTTTGGTATGAAATGATTAATATATATATATATATATATATATATATATATATATATATATATATATAGAGAGAGAGAGAGAGAGATGGGGAGGGAAGGCAGAGATAAATTAAATGTGAACGACGTACATCTATCTGAATCACATTTACGTCATAAATTACTGTGCAGCTGTGGAACGTCGAAGGAAGTCCCTAATAGAAATAATCATCAAAGATCCTTTTGCTGTTAATAGAGCCTTTCATCTTGTTGAAGCGATTCTCTTTACCTCGCTTCCCATTCCGCAGACCAGAACATAAAACATGGCATGAAGGCCGAACGAATCTGACATGGCCCCGTTTAACACCCACACCACCACCACCACCAATCCTGACCTCATGATCACTTCCTTTTCTGTCAGCTATTTTTACGTCTTCAAACAATTCCTTCCGCCTGGATATCATTCATAAATACTATTTGCTTCTTTTAGGAGTCGCAACATTTCCCCGAAGCAGTATTCGCTATTTCTCTGTCTGGAGGATTTTGAAAAGTATTGTAGTATTAGTTTAGTGGCATATCAAATTCTATCGGTTATTTTATACGCAATTTTTTATTTTATTTTATTTTTGAAGAGAATAATGGTTTAGTGCAATGATTCCCAACGTTGGGTGCATGCCCCACCGGTGGGGCATGGTAATATTTTGGTGGGGCATGCGTAGTATGTCCACCCTTCGGCTTACAATACCAACAGAAAAAGGGGGCAATTTGAGAATGACTTATTAAAAGTGAATTGTTTTTTAGTGAGTTTGAGTGAGAGTGTTAATGCGTGTTAATATATATGATGTATATACAGTATGCATGCATAAAAAATATTTTGTGTGTATATACGTACATGTGTAATTTGCATACAAGGTATTTCCCGTCTCCCCACACTCGCGTGTCTCAGTCAACAAAGGAGAGGGCGTGATGCATGTCACTGGAAGAGCCTATGTTTTCTCGGCGAATCAGCGCGTGTGAGCATTAAGTTTCCTTCCTTCACGTGAATTGCAGTAAAATTTTGAATATGAATAAATTAAATATTACATGGGGAGGCACCAAAATTTTAGAAATACCAAAGTGAGGCATGGCCCAAAATCTGTTGGGAACCATTGGTTTAGTGATACCAGTCTTAATAATTAACCTAGAGTTTGGGAGGGGGATGATAGGAATCATATCTCTCTCAAGAGTATTTGCACGTAAGTGAATATAACGATCCCAACTAGAATTGGAACTCGGCTCTCCGATTAACTATGCCATTATCAAATACACTGCCCGCACATCCAGCTTATCGCAGATTGTATTCCTAAATGGTCAACTATCTTGGTACTAACCAGGCTCGACGTTGCTTAACTTCGGTGATCGTACGGGAACCGGTGCTTCCACGTGATGTGCCCGTGAATGACGCTTCCTTGATCACTAAAATCTTAATCTATTCAAGTCGAGGATCAACCGTTATCTATCTTACATATCCTTATAATTGTTTCCTTCCTGCACGTCATTAGAACAACCTCATTTAGTAACCCTCTCCCTTGAATATCTCTTTGGATTTCTATTGGGAGAATATATATATATATATATATATATATATATATATATATATATATATATATATATATATATTGTGTGTATTTAGCAGCATATTTTCATTTATACACGTTTCATTAAATAATATAGACAAGTGTTGTCTATTTATTTTATGTAAAATTTTTCGTATCTTCTGATAAGTTTTATAACATTAGCATTAACCGAAAAAGAAATTCACAATATTTATCCATTATTTTTTTAATAAAATCTAAAATTTCGGCTTACTCAAGCCATTATCAAAGATGTAAATACAAACATATCAAACAATATACGGACACGACAGTGATGATATAGTCTGTCATTGTTTTGTTTACATAGTGGATCACTAAGCAACGATGAACACGCGCATATAAGACGCTAGAAAAAATCGCACCGCATCTCATGACGTCACACATGACTACACAAGAGTGAATTGGAGAATGAAAATAAGGAAAGCCGTTGGTATAACCAATGGCTTCTGTTAGGATTCAAATATTGAAATTTTAGACATTTAAGAATATTTGTAGAATTCCATAACTATTGATTTTGTTTTAAATGTTGGGTTTTAACTGTTTTGATGTATAATGCTTCAAATAAGTATTTTTAGTTTTTGTCTATTGTTTTTTTGTATGTCGAAGTATAGTTGTGTTTTCGACAAGTAATTTACAAATCTGTAGTTGAATATTATTTACTGTTTTAGTATGGCATGTTGTTTTAAATGCCTAAAAATTTGTTACAGATTTTCATTAAGATGTAGTGTCAAATGCGTCGTTATAAACAAGATGAACATTAGTTTGTGGTGTGACCAACATAAATATTATTTAATTCGTTGGAGATACACTCTCCCAAAGATTTGAACTTAGTTTATAAACTATGTTGGTTTTTTTATGCAAATCAAGCTAACCGGGGAGAAGAATCATTTTTTTAGGCATTAAAAACAATTGGATATACTAGATTTAAATAAAACATATGATTAATTTAATTTTTTTAAAAAAATGTTGGATCTATAGTTGATATATTAAATTTATGAAAACTCTAAATTTTTATAATGTGTTCATCTTGTTTAAAGATTAGTATGCATTTGATTAAAATAATGGATATATCATCACTGTCGTGTCCGTATATTGTTTGATATTTTTTTTTACATCTTGATAATGGCTTGATATTTAGATTTTATTAAAAAAATAATGGAGAAATATTGTGAATGGTTAATGCTTTATAAAACTATCAAAATAAATAAAATAAATAGACAACACTTGTCTATATTATTTAATGAAACGTGTATATATATATATATATATATATATATATATATATATATATATATATAACCTTGTGCAAATTAATTGAAGCAAATCAAATAATTCCGTTATTATTTACTTTTTCGTATTTTTCAATGAAACATGACCCAGTGCACATGTTAGTACTTCGTATGTCCATTCCATGAAGTTGTTCCTTGCAAAGTGACCACAGATTCTCGATTGTATTTAAATCAGGTGAGTTTCCGTGCCAGTCTATTATACTTTGCTTTGCTCAATGGTAAGGCTTGCCAGTGTTTTCGTGCAGTGTTAAAATTTCCGTACGCTTCCTAGGAGTAACGTCCATCGCAGACAATGGCTGTAGGACAACTAATCGACAGTCGAAACAATAGTGTCTCGAAATGATAAAAACCAGATGCAATCACGCATGACGCAATATTATTCAAGGCCAAACAAATTTCATCATACACCTCAAAAATGGATTCATATTACTGCACACCAAGCAAACGATTTAATCTGAGGAAAAAATAAAAATCGATTACAATTTTTCACTCCAGTGAGTCTAAAACTGACTGTATAATGAAAGAAAGGAAACTAAAGAAGTTGTTTCAATTAATTTGCTCAAGGGTGTATAATTAAGATTTTATCAGTCAATAAAAAGAAACTAGAAAAGATCCTGACGACTGTTAAGAGTGACCTTAACAGAATATGTGAGAAACGAGGAAATCTTAATAAAATAAGAGCAACAAAGAAACGTATACTTACAATCATAACGAGAATGTTGAGATTTCTGCGACGTATAATGAAGAAAGGGGACTGAGAGAATTTAACACTCACAGAACATTCGGAAGGGAAGAAAAGTAGAAAAAAACAGCGAAGTAACCTACCGTTGCGTATTACCCCCGAATTCCCCGACTGAAAAGTAACAAGCCTGATTAGGAGATCCGGGTAATGCTTTGTGAACCTCGCTATCCTATCAATATTTGCTTTTTTTTTTATCTCTCCACGTTTATATACATTACAAATTAAACGAAGCACAAGTGACTATTAAAGGATGAAGAATCTTTGAGGTATTTGACGTCATTCTGGGGTCTTTTTTGTCCAAATCCATGAATTTGTTTTGCTCATGCTAAGTCTTGAAAAAACAACTATTTAAAATTCACTACTTTTTATTCATAATGTTGAAGGTGTTAAAATTATTCAACTATTTAACAAGAAAAATCTCAAAGTGAAAAATTGCCGCAAAACTTTGTTGATCTATTTGAGATGGAATGATCTATTATGACATGTCTCTAATTTGTATTTAGATACATTGTATTTATTTTCAATTTTTCTAGTTGAATTGCTCACCTATATTGCATATGATCCACTAATGTACATAATTAGGTTACAATAAAATTTGTATTTTATATAAATACTGCCTTATGAAAATTGAGATGTAGTAGAGTAGGGTGGGGGCGTAATATAGAATCAGAAAGAGGCGTATCGTAGATTTGGTGGGCACGAGGCCCATGCACCGTCCCTGAACCTACTTAATGAGCTTGTATGAACAGCTGACAGAACAAGATAAAAGTGCGATGGTAAACGGGCGAATATTAATTCGAACAGCAAAAGACTGTAAGTTTTGGATAACCATGCTCGCTACATAAAAAAGAATAGTCATTTTCATTAGAAATTACAGTTGCCCAAAAGATGTTTGTTTTAATTTCTTACAAAAAGAAAAACTTCAAGGAGTTTTGATATCAAAGAAATCTGAGAGGCATGAATTAAGGTACTGCTTATTTCTGAATCTCCTGGTACTAAAATAATCCTTTTACAGTCCCCTCCAAAAAAATAAAGATCTAAAATTTCTACGAAAGATGTCTATGGAAGATAGGATAAATCTTATTAAGCTAATGACGATTTTATCTTGGGTTTGTTTCACAAAGTGATTTTATCTTGGGTGTGTTTCACAAAGTCATTGTTTCACAAAGTCAGTGTTTCACAGAGTCATTGTTTCACAGAGTCATTGTTTCACAGAGTCATTGTTTCACAGAGTCATTTTTCATTCTGATACTAAAGAATCATTTCTCATCACTATCATGATTAATTACCGTTAATTTATGTTGCAATTAATCATTGGCATACTTGAGTTGATATTAAGCTCAAGCTCCAGGCGGGGGCATCCCCTCCATGCAGTACTTCTCGTTTGAGGTGGAGGGGTCATTACCCGGTGCCTGATGCGTCATCCGAAAAAAATACGCTCGACCAACGGAGGCGACTCACTGTTTCACTTTTTCGCACAAATCGCCGTCGCACATTGATGAAACGCATTATCTATCGCCTTACTGTGCTCTCATCCATTTTTTTGTCTCCGTAAACGTTCAGAAAACGAGTATGAATATCAATAGTTTCAATTGATCCGTGTCGAGGAATTCAAACATATCTCTGCATCGTATGCACTTTTATGCCAAACGTCATTTTGTCAGAATGTCTTTCAGCTAGTGACTGTAACAAAGCAAATTTAAAAACTGAATTGTTGGTAGGAAGGTTCAATATTTGCTGCCCTACCAGCCACATCCAATTCGGGTATCATTGGCTAACATAATAAAATAAGAGGAACAATCATCATATAATCATTTTCTGTTGAATTTTTATTTATTAGTATTTTTAGAGATTAGTGTAGATTATATTTTGGTTATTATAACACTTCAACGGCGACTCTTTTCACACACAAAACACCATATTATAAACATAAAAGATTATATTTTTATTTCATATTGCATTATAATTTAGTTAATCTCTGTGTAAGTCCTGCTAGTCCATGTTATTTGGATAAACATTATCCTGTCATATGGCTCAACTTCACATATCAGACTCTGTTATTTGTATTTAATATTACATTATAATGGCGTTAGGCAACGTACAAGTATTTGTAGTTTATGGCGTATAAGCATTATCTTTTCAGATACTTCACTATCTTTCATCATTTTTTATTGACTTTTCAGAAAAAAAGATTTTATATGACATCCAGTATGGTAACTTGATTGATGGGCATTAAATGGAAACCTACACACAAGACATAAATAAATGATTATCTGACTAGAAATTGTCAAACCTTCACCATTATCGACTTATACACAGGTAGATATGGTAATTCTCTTTATTATTAAAGAATGAAACAATGTGGATGTATTGTCCTCACATAATTCAATGACTTTTCGTGGATTCAAAATCGATTTTATTTACTCAGATAAATTTCTTGTAACACATTTATATAAAATCGAAGTAGAAATACTGATGCAACAGATTCGCTCACCGAAAGCTTATGTGTCTTCTTTTAAAATCAGCCTCGACTTTTACCTGAAATACAACCGCAATCTTTAGCTTTGCTTAGAAATATAGCATTATTTCGGCTGTGATGTGGCTTAATAATTTTCAAAATCTAACCCAGACGTTTTTATTGTTGTTTTTTTTATCATTTCTACCTCCAAAGAAGGCAATAAAACTTATAGGCGGCAAGGGGGTTACTGGGTATGAAAGAATATAAAAAAAGAAAGCATTCTTGATAAAATCCAAAGGAA